ACGGATTAGCTTGACCCTGTCAGACTCTCTGGCTCCCCACCTAGAATTGCCAAAAATTTTGAGCTGATTGATTGTCTTGCTGGCTTTGTCTTCCAAGGCTTTGAAGTTCTTGTTGAAAAGGAGCTTCTGGTCAATCCAAACGCCCAACCATTTAACTTCAGTTGCCGGGGTTAAACTTTGGGATCCAAAGGAGAGACCACCCGAGGGTGGTTTCCCTTTGGTCAGCCAGAGAAATTGAGCTTTGGCTTGATCGAAGATTGCCCCATGGGAATCACCCCATTGTAGCGATCTTCGCCCTTCCAAAATCAAGAGAGCCCTTGCGTCGTCAGCTGATTTGGCAGCCACTAGGTGGACGACATCGTCCACATAACCGATTGAGATTGTATCTACAGAGACTGATAAACATTTGTTTAGTAGCGCGTTGTTGTATAGAATGTAGAGGATGACAGAGAGTGGAGAGCCTTGCGGCAGGCCTATCTCAATGGGGAATGCCGTAGAGGTAAAGTCGTCCAGCCGAATCGTTGTCGACCTGTCTCTGAGAAAGTCAGAAATAATCAGGACTAGATACGTCGGGCATTTCATGTCAGAGAGATATTGGATGAGACGGGGCGGGTGGACCGATGGATACGCGGACTTTACGTCCAAAAACAGGCCAGCCACTACTTTTCCCTTCCCTCCACTTGGCCTTAACCCAGTGTTCAAAAGCATACAAGGCATCCTCAGTGCCGGACCCTTTCCTCCCACCAAAATGTCCCTCTGCCAAAACTCCTGACTCTTCTGCCCAGGTTGAGATCCGCTGTGCAAGAATCAGCTCGAAAAGCTTGCTTGGGCGTGCTGAGCAAAGCTATGGGTCTATAGGCCGTGGGGTTGGTGTAATCGGGCTTGCCATGTTTGCGGATAATTGCAGTGACGGCTACCTTCCATGAAGATGGGAATGAGCTCTGGGTTAGAATGGCATTAAAGAGTGTAGTCAATGGGCCAGCAATTTTATTGGAGAAGAACTTAATGGTTTCATTAGCTATTCCATCTATTCCAGGAGCCTTCTTTGGGCTGATACGTCCGATGGCGTTCAGAACCTCAGCCTCCACAACAGGTGGGTAGCTAACAAAACGTATTGCTGGATCAAAGCTGACATCAGATAGGTCAATGGGGACGTTGGTGATTGAGGTCCCATCAAAAAGCAACTTAGCTTGTTGGGATTTATCATGTACAATGGATCCATCTCGGTCCTTCAGGGGTAAAACCTCGCCGCCTGCAGCTTTGCTAGTGAAGCGCAGGACCCTATAGAGATCTTCCTCCGAGGGGTTTTCAAGGAGCCGTCTCCAGCTGCGCTGTTTTAGGGAGTGAACAAGGGAGAGGAAGTAGCTATTCCACTGGCGATAACACTCACACGCCTCGGGTGACTTAGCTAGTAACATCCACCGGCGTGCACGGTTGCGGGTTCGCAAAACCGGATCCAGGGTGGCCTTGCACCACCATGGCTTTGCCTTGGCTGCGTCTGATCGTACCCGACGGCCTAGAGATTCCTGAGCACGTTGAAGAGAGGAGGTGAGTTGGCCGGCAAAGCGGCTAGGGTCCGAGTCACAGCTTCCCAGAGAAGACAATAACTCAGCTGAGGTTTGTTTGATGCGGTCCTGTCTGATCAATGCCCAGTCGGGTAGGCGCCAATGGTAGCGAGGTTCCGGGCCACTAAGTGATAGTCTCACGTGAATTGCCTGATGATCGGATCCAAAATTGTCTTCGGAAATTTGGGTCTTGACAAGAATTTTGGAAACATAAAAAAAATGGCCCAAACCAGATCAAATAGTGGGGGCCTTTGGCCTTTTGCGGGAGAATGAATGGTTGGAATGTGTTGGGGAAGCCAAACGAAAGCCAAATGAAGAAAGATAACTCAGCATGTCTACCGCCTCTTTCTCTCAAGTCTGCAACCGGGGGGTTCCAATGGCGGTGATGTAGGTTGGCGTCCATGAAGATGACCACTGGGCGCTGTCGGGAGTAGAAGCGGGTCAGCCAGCTCTTTAATTCTTGAACAGCGGGGAAGGAAGGGGGAGGATTGTAAACATTCAGGAAGCGAAAAGGTTTCCCCGCCTGCAGGGTGATTTCCACGCCAACCAGTGTCTGGGAACCGCCTTCCAGGAGTCGGACTGCTTCTGAAGGGATTGACCGCCTGACATATATGACGGCTTTGTGGCGCTCGCGCCATACGGTTGGCACGTGTTCGTACGCGGTGTAGGCTCTCCATGCTGCATGTTTGGGAGGGCACAAGTCAATGGGGTTCACCCATGGTTCCTGAAGTAAGAGAAAATGAAAGGAAAGAGAAGAGTTGAGTAGACTTAGCGTTACGGCTTTTGAGACGTGGCAGTTGAGTTGAAGCACTGAGGAGGAATTCGGGATTTCAGAGGTGAATTGAGAAGATGGGATTGAGTCTTGGATAAAAGGAGTGATGTGGTCATGTGTTTCATGTGGTTGAGTGGGTTGGATGTGGACGGGGGTTGCGTTGGTTTCAGCTAACATTGAGGAGATAAAGTTTTCTTCTCAAACCATGCCTTCTTGAAGGGGCAGGCCATGTCAAATGGAGTGTGATCAACATCGCGGACACCTTCAATCTTGTTCTTGAGGCCTTCCTTGCACAGTACGCAGGTTTTGACACCGCCGATGCCTTCAGGACATTCATTGGTCGAGTGGTTGCTGGCACATTTGGCACATCTAGCCTTCTCGCGGCACCATTTCCCGAAATGGCCCATCTTGAGGCACTTGAAGCATTGAGGGGGGCGGGGCTTGAAGCGTTCCGTGCGATGAAAGTCGTAGTTGAGGAAGATGCCTGACTTCTCGATAACATTAGCCAGGTCTTTAGTCGCAAAAGAAAGCACTAAGGAACCTGCCTTCTTGGCAGACGGTTCATTGGAACCCATCCAGCGGACGCGAACTAGTTCGGTGGCTTGAAAGTTATTTTCTGACGCGAGTTTGGCCAAGTTGGCTGGCTTGCTGATGTCAAAGGATTTCGGGATGCCGTGGGCCATCACGGAATAAGTGCTCGGGGTGGCTTTGAGATCGGGATGCACTTCTTTAGACCAGACGTGCTTGTTGGTCATGAGCCACTTTTGATGGCTTCGATTCCTGGTGTAGAATGATACATCGCCTGAGGGGAGGACACTGGCTCCTCGGATCGCTACAATCTCGCCTTCGACACGGGCGTCAAGCTTGACGAGTGCCTCATTCGCCTTCTGAACCAAAGCGCCACTCGGGACGTCCTTGAGG